CACTTTACCCCTTTAAGATTATAACTTGCCTCGAAATAGTCCCTGTAGTATTATAGCAACATTTTTTTGCCTACCATTTGGTTCTTGGGATATTCTTCTTTAATTTACCAAAGGGTTGTTTATTTACCTCTTAATAGTTTCATTAATAGGTAACATTTGAATCGTTAAAAGGGTTGTTTTTTTAAAATCCTCTGAATGATTTTGTATTCTGGATCTCTCTTAACCATTAAGAGCCTTAATTTCATTGTACACAATTACCAAACAATTATATTTCATTTTTCACTATATCATAAGAGCCTTTTAATCATTCTGACCACTTAACCATTCTATACAAAACCATTCAACAATTGCCAAACAGTCCATAAATATTCAAAGTGATTACAACAACTTCAAGAAATCATAATCAAAATTAGATAAAATTAATTAATTAAAGTTTATAATAAGTATGCAATTTTAAGCTAAAAACAGTATTCTACTTGATTCTTTAAATTTAAATATCGTAATTATAAAAAAACCAGTAAATTAAAATTATAATTCAGACACAAGAAAACTGATTATCCAAATACCCTTCGGGAAAATTGAGTCCTTAATAAACAAGGGACTAATCCAGACCATTCATCTATTTTAGTTCAGTAGGTTATGAACAATAGTGAAAGTTACATTTTGCCAAAATCCCTGAATTACAATACTGATACGGTATTGTTTCATATGTTATACGTTCAAACACTCACTTTCAACCTCCCTAAATATATCTGATATATATATATATATAATTTTTTATGATGCACATGCATGGGATGCTCCCATACCATATTTGGTCCTATTTATAGATGCATCATGTGTTATTCTATTTTCCCATTTTGAGATCCAAAATCAAACTTGTCTCAAAGAATGATGAAGATCCAAATTAGGGTTTTGGCCATCTTTGCATCTTTACTTCTCTTTCAAATGTATCTTCTTCAATGCAATAAGAGTAGTGCCAAAGGCATCAACACAAGTACCAACATCATATATTCAAGAAGGTTACTTGTATTTCCAAGAATGGCTTCTAAATCCATCGCAAGAGATCAAGGTTCGTCACAAAAGATCGTCGCTAATGCTACTTTCAACCAGAGCCTCAGGAAGAAACCACGTAGCGGTCCCAACCCAACTCATAATAGAAAGTAAATTAAATTCAATATTTTCGTAGAATTTTATTTATTTATTTTATAGTTTTTTTTCTTCTTTATTTGTATTTTTTTCTGAGATAAATTTTAGTGTCAGCAATTAGTGATTTAGATGTACCAAAAGCTATGAAATTAAATCAAACCCAACTAAACATACCAGATATATTTTAATTTGTACTATTTTTATCTGTTGAAACAGAATCTTTGATTATAGATTAGTACATGATGTTATTTAACATATTTTGTTGATCGGTTTCTACTGTTTTAGATGATTTTAACATATTTTTTTCAAAAAATTAGATTTTACAGGAAATTGGAGAAGTGGAGAGCCAATGTTTTGTAGATTTGTACCCTACCATGGGTCCATTGTATTTTTGTTTTCTGACTTATTCATAAAATTCATAAATCTTGTATATATTTATGTAATGATGACAATTAAAGATGGTTTTAGTTTTTCAGACTAACATCTATACTATATTATAAAACATTTGATAGAAACTTTTAAAAACCATTTTTTATACATGAAGGACTGTTTATTGATGCATATTACTTAAAACTCAAGATTACAAGTAAATAATGCATAAGTACAACTTACTAAAGCTCTATGCTTGAATTCAGGTAACTAATTGCTGATAAACATAATCAAATACTGGCTAAATATTTTATTTTAAATATAAAAAATCTAAAATATAATTAGGATAATCATTATGTTCTAACAGAATACTTAATTATTATCTTTATAAATAATTATATTATTAAATCAAAAATAATTTACTTCATTATTAAACTTAAATTATAATAAAAAATTGAATTAAAGAAATTATACAATAAAACAAGAATTTTTAAATAGTTAATTTGATACTAATTTCGATATATTTTTTTCAAATTTTAAGATATCTTCAAATTTATATTTTATTCAAAAATAAAAACATTATCGTTTTTCTCCAAACCACATAAAACTGTATTATAACATCGGCAGAGAACAAAATAAAACGAAACATTAAAATCGAGATGTATCTCGCTGCATTGTGCGAGTATCTTCTAGTTCATAAAAACCTTTGAAATTTTCTTAACAAGAATTCTTGGAGGTCTAAGACTTTGGCAATAGAGTGAGTGTACGAACTTTAAATAAAGATTTTAAAGAGCAAATTGTTTATTTCTTTTTGATATTTTAAGGTTAATTATAAAAACTTGATCTAACTCTGATATAAAAATCCAACGTTTTATTTGTCAATTATGAATTATATAAAGACAATAAGGTTTGCGCCTTTGGAGTTCCTCCTCAGAGGTCATAGGTTCGAGTCCTGCAAGTCTACTTGGGAATTTCTTGGCTGTTCTCCTAGTGTGTGAGATTAGTCAAGGTGCATGCAAACTGGCTCGAACACGCATGGTTAACAAAAATAGTTTATATACAAACAACCGAAGCAATTTGCCTCGACTTGCTTTGTGGCTTTGCCTCACGATTATAAGGGGTCAAGCAAAAGGCCAATAGTATGTAAGTTACTCGTAGATCCCAACCTCAAATGTCGAGCAATCAAGGGATCAAACCTTATCGAATATAAGAAGTATATGTGAGTTTTGTCGTATATGATTATTTTCTACTTAAAAAAAAGAATCGTAAGGGTTGCAACTAAGAGGGATGCCTGTTTCGAGAAAGGAAACACAATACACTTTGATCTAATGTGCCCGTAGATCATTACATGCTCATATTCATCTTCATCCACGTCACCATGGTGTTATATAATGGTGGATCTAAAATCTTCGACAACTGGGAAACACGTTTATGGTATCCCTCTTATGCTATCGACCAAAACTAAATAAACAACCAGTGTTTTAATTTTGTAACTGCTGGTTATTCATTTGGCATGTAAACTTAAACATTAGGACGAACTTTTTGTTTGCATATGTACAACTTATTAAAGTTCTATTTTTAAATTCATGTAACTAATTGCAAATAAACATAATCAAATACATGATAAACATCAATTTTAAATATAGAAAATCTAAAATATAATTAAGATAATCATTGCGTTCTAACAGAATGTTTAATTATTATCTTTATAAAAAATTATATTATTAAACCAAAAATAAATTACTTTGTTACTAATCTAAATTAAATTATAATAAAAGTTATTTATACTATATTATAAAGCATTTGATAAAAACTCTTAAAAACCATTTTTTATGCATGAAGTACTGTTAATTGATGCATATTATTTAAAATTCAAGATTACAAGTAATTTTATATAAGTACAACTTATTAAATCTCCATTTTTAAATTTGTGTAACTAACTGCAGATAAACATAATCAAATACAGAATAAACATCTATTTTAAATAAATAAAATCTAAAATATAACTAAGATAATCATTATGTTCAAACAAAATATTTAATTATTATCTTTATAAAAAAATTATATTATTAAACCAAAAATAAATTACTTTGTTATTAAATCTAAATTAAATTACAATAAAATATTAAATTAAAGAAATTACACCAAAGAAACGAAAACTATTAAATAGTTAATTTGATACTAATATCGATTTATTGTTTTCAAAATTTTATGCTATATTCAAATTTATATTTCATTCAAAAATATAAACATTATTCGTTTTCTTAAAACCACATAAAATCGTATTGTATCGATAAAGAAAAAAAAAAAAAAACTAAACATTAAAATTGAGATCTACCTGCTTTTAGTGTATATATATATATATATATATATATTCTTACATGTACAATATAGATAGTTGAATCTATATACATGCATGCACAACATAATGCATCTAAGGGAGCTTCTGTTTTGTGCGGTCATAGTTGGTGTATATATATGTATATATATATATATGAGTGCGCATATGTATATGCATATGTGTGTGTATATATATATGTACTGTGTATATATGGATGTATAAGTTGAAGTAACGACGTAAGCAACGTTGTCAGTTTATGAAATGCTAAAATAAATGGTGTTAAAGAGACCACCCGATCATCTCTATTTATCGTAGGTAGTGGCATCGTAATTATCTTAGATTTAAGTGTGGTCTTGGATTTGTAAGGGAGGTGCTAGCCACTTCGAGGATCAGTTAAGGCAACGACTTGTACGATGAGTTATATGTGACTTTTCCTATGTATGGTTGCACGTTTTATTTATAATTATGACCAAGCTTACTTGGGATTTTCTCAATATCTTTGATATATCATGTATGCATAAGACTTTTAATATTTTTTTATAATATGTGTTGTGAGTATTTGTGTGACAATGATGATGTACTACGATATGATTCTATAAAGACGAGTATGCTTTGTGAGCTTGTTTAAGCCGTAAGTGCGGACATGCTGTGTGAGTTCACTAGGTAATCTTGTGTGAGGTAGACATCTCCTATAACGCCGTTGACTTTGTGAATTATGTTGTTTAAACCATATGCATGATAAATTATGACGTTCTTTTAAATCTATTTAATAACGTTGTATATGCATTAAAACCGTGAATTCATTGAGTCCTGGGCTCACCCATCTCCTTTTCAAAATAATTTTGCAACCAAGTCATCACTCACTCGGGAGTAGTAGCAAAGGAAAAGAGAAAGCTTAGAACCTGGTCATCATGGAATAAAGGCATGTCGAAGAGCGATATTCGAGTTTTTTTTAGCGATCAACTTTTAGATGCTTTTTCATCAAGTTTTTTAATCTTAAAAACTTCCGTTGCATTAGAGTCTTTAGACTCGGGACACTATACTTTTGGATGCTCATGCAATCATTATGTGGATTATACCACTCAACCATCTAATGAACAAAGAATATAAACAAGCTTATAAATGGAGTGGAAGACTAACTTCACACACTTCTCATCATCATTTCTTGAAATCTTCTATCAGATTCTTGCTTCTCCAATATGAACTTTTGATGACAGTTTGCTATATATTTGTCAGCAAGACTGTCAATGTCATTGATATCATAAGCTCTGTTGTTCTTTTCTTCAAGCCAATGAAGATACCTTGAAAGATCATGCAACTCTGATGTTGCTTCCTCTTCAAAAGAATCCCACGTGGGATCATAGGACACATAGCCATCATAGATTGAACTCTTTGGGACCACGTGAGATGAACTCCAGTTGTAGTAAAACCTGAATGAACTAAGATTGAACCTGTTCTTGTTTTTGTTCTTCTTGAACATTAAAGACAACAACATGTGAACATTCTTCAGGTTTGTTTCTTCCACAAATTCAGTACAAACTAATTTAGCTTTCGCAAGAACAACATCGATGCAACTTAGCTGTGAAACGATAAAGTTTCGGATCAGGGTTTTGAGTTTCTTAGAGGTAGATGGTGGTGATGCCATTTGGATGGAGAAAGGCATGAGAAAGCTATGAATTTGGTTGGTTCTTGTATGAGTTTTTCAGGGGTCTTGGTTCCAAATGTGATTTATTTATAGGGATCTTGATGACCAAAATTTTAATTTAAACAAAAGTTGCAACCACTTTGAATACTTCAAGGAGTTTTTTATTTGTTACTTTCTCTTTTTCAAGTCCCATGTTTTGTTTACTTCATAATTCTTAAAATTGCTACTAATAATCAACAATTACATATAATTCATTCATTTAGAAGGAAGATGTATCTTTGGATATTTCATAAAATACAATATTTATTACGTGTATTTTTAGTTATAATTTATATTTTTATTCGTTAATCTATACTATATTATAAAACATTTGACAAAAACTCTTAAAAACATTTTTTTTGCATGAAATACTGTTTATTAATACATATTACTTAAACTTCAAGATTACATGTAATTTTACATAAATACAACTTATTAAAGCTTCATTTGTAAATTCGTGTAACTAACTGCAGATAAATATAATTATAGACAGGATAAACATTCATTTTAAATATAGAAAATCTAAACTATAATTAAGATAATCATTGAGTTATAACAGAATGCTTAATTATTATCTAATAAAAAAGTATATTGTTAAACCAAGACTAAATTACTTTGTTATTAAATCTAAATTAGCGTATAATAAAAAAAATGAATTAAAAAGTTACATTGAAAAAATGAGGATTATTAAATAGTTAATTTGATCCATCAATTTAATTTTTTCAAATTTTTATGCTATCTTCAAATTTATATTCCATTCAAAAATAAAAACTTTATTGTTTTTTCAAAACCATATAAAATCATATTATATTGATAGAGAAGAATAAAAACGAAACAATTAAATGGAGATTTATCTCGCTGCATTGTGCGAGTACCGTTCTAGTTAATACTTAATATAAACAAGCTTAAGAATTTATTTTACTAGATGTTCATAATGTATTTACAAGGTTCACACAGTGCTCACACGTGATAGCTTTAGATTTACTGATGTAGTTGATGTTCACATTATGTTTACAACCAGATCTAGATTAAAAATATATTCACAAATTATAATAATTTTATTAAGAAAGTGTTCACAATGTGTTAAAAATAGAAGAAAATATATAAGTGAGAGGACAGAAAAAAGGGGATAGGGGAGAGAGGTGTTTTTTTTTATAGAGTAAATTACATAATTCGTTTCTATGGTTTGTTAAAATTTGCGATTTTCGTCCTTGTGCTTTAGAAATTGCAATTCTTTATTTTTATGGTTTGTAATTTATTGTTATTTTCGCCTTTGAACTAATTCTTACCTTTTTAAGTGTAAGAGATCAAAATAGTAAAGGATTGTAAACCACAAGGGCTGAAACAATAATAACCTATAAATCATAAAGACGAATATAACAATGATTTACAAACTATAGAGACAAAAACCAAAATATCTAAAACACAAGGATGAAAATCACAGTTTTTAGTAGACCACAGGGACGAAAAACATAATTTACTCTATTTTTTATGGTTTAAATTGGATCTCACAAATTACACGGATCAATGCCTCCTATAACAAAAGACCAGTAAAATTTATTCATTGTTGATTTTTTCGCCAAACTAATGGGGACCAAAAGTGTATACATTCAGTACAATATGATATATCTTGATTTCAGAATTAAAACTCTAACTCTCAGTATTGATTCTTGTTTCGTTCTATCCATTTTACCCTGTCATTCTTATGGTTTTGAAAACTAGGTTAGAAATTGTAATAGATATATAATATGAAAACCAAATTAAAGATAAAAAAATATTTTTTTTATATGAATTTATTTAATAAAAAGATTAAATTATGCTTAAATACAACTTATTAAAACTTCATTTTTAAATTTGTGTAACTAATTATAGATAAAAGTAATCAAATACATGATAAACATCTCATTTTAAATATAAAAAATCTAAAATATAATTAG